AGTTTTAGTGATCAAAATATCATCAAAATACCCTGCTTGTTAGTTATTTTTCTTTAATTATTATTTTTTTACTATTCGTTTCTTAAAAATCTTAGTCTTAAAATCTAGATTTTACATAGCTGTCATTCTGAACAAACAAGAAATATATTGATAATTCTAATATGCCTAATGTAGCTATTGTACTTTTTAAACTTTTAGATTGGAAACATTGTACATCTCTTAGAAATAATGGAAAAACGTGATCCAGAATTACAAGTCGTGATAAAAAAATTAGCAACTTTAACATTGTTGGAAGTTTTTAAAGATCTCTTACCAAGTTATCAATTAAAACTGGATAAACATGATGGAGTAAAATGTAAGTTTCTTGACTTTTTTTATAATAATATATTTTTTCTTGTAATATTTAAATTCTTTGATGTTTTTTTTTTTTATGTAAAATCTTTAAATATACATATTATATTTTAACTATTTTCTTTTCAATGTATATAATATATTAGTTGATAATAATTATTATTGACTGACAATTAAAAATGTCTTCATGATCAGATACTTATTTGATTACTTACTTTTAACTAAACACATATATGTATTGTTTTTAGTGAAATTGGTTACAAAAGAGTTGCTTGGCTATGAAGGACAATTGCTCAAGGGTTACAAAGTTTATTTAACCAATTTAGAGAAAATGGCTAGTTGCCTCCACAAAAAGAAAGGAGATACTCGAATCATAACAAATGTAAGTTTTTTATTGAACTAAAGTTGGGATATAAGCTCTCAAACATATTATGTAATTTGAATTTTTTAAAGAGAGTTCAATTAATGTTATTTATTCTAAAATTATATATTACTAGCTGTCCCTCCCGACGTTGACCACAAAGATTTGTATTTTTAATAAATATATTTGTACAAAATGTAAATACCATATTTTTTCTAATTATAATATTAATATAATATGTAACAAATTGCGACCAAGTTTTTTGGTTCAACCATTGGTTTAAAAATACAATGCTTTTAAATAAATATGGAATGTTTCTTAAATACAATAATAATATTGTCTATCTATTATCTAGTATGTCAAATATGTTACTGGGTTTAAATTGATTTATCTCTTGTTGAGAAACTGGTTGTTGCAATGGTATTTTAGTGTTTAACTTTAGATTTAATTAGTAAGGTCCATCAATCAATACAATTTAGAACAATTTGCTTACCATATCTTTAGATTGTGCATATGTTTAACTGTACCAAGTTACTAGTTAGTAATTATATTTTCCTTAGCTAATTTGTGTACTTGTTACTTTTCTATGAGCCTTATAAATTATAGTTACCATAAGTTTAAAACTTGATTAAATTATGGATGATCAATTTTTTGATATAGCTGCCAATTTTATATTTTTGGTAAAATAAATAAAAAATATATACATTTTTTACCTACTTGTCCTTAAAAACATTAAATACTATCAATAGTAAATATTAAATCAACTTTTTTTTTCATTTTAGGTCCATATAAATTTGGCTGAAATGGCTGTTAATTGTATGTGTGAATTATTAATTTCTCATTCATATTTTAATTATGCAGTCAACATTGGGCATTTGTTAACTCTTTACTTAGATAACAAAAATACTAATGTTAGAAAAAAAATTGAAGAGACATTTATTAAAATTTTTAAAGAAGATAAAAAAGGAACTATTTCATTAGTGGTAAGAATTAAAAAACTTGTTTACATGTCTGAAAAAAATATTTTAATATAGCTATTATGAATAATTGAGAATCATATTTATATATATAATTAGATAGTGCGGCGCATAAATCAACTTGTTAAGACTAGAAGTCATTGTGTGCACAGTGAGCTCTTATCCGTTTTACTTGCATTGCCCATCCGAAATGTCAATCTCGATAAAGAAAAAGAAGACATTTTGAAATCAAAAAAATTTATGACCAGAAAACAAAAATTATTAGCTATGTCAAAAAAAGAACGTAAAGTAAGATCTCACTATTATTTATGTTCTGTACAATATTATTATTAAATAAATAATTATTTATATTTTTAGCGAAGTAAAATGTTGGATAAATTAGATAAAGAAATGCTTGAGACAAAAGCTGAAGAAAATGTTAAAAGTCACTTGAACAATTTAACTGAAATAACTAAACTTGTATTTTTGATATACTTCCGAATATTAAAAACTGCTCCGCGTTCTAAGTTATTATCTGTTTGTCTTGAAGGATTAGCAAAGTTAGTGTTATAAATGCATTATTAGTATGTCTGTGAAATTTAATTTATTGTTTTATGTAGATATAGCCATTCAATCAACTTAGAATTTTACCACGATATTCTCACAGTTTTGGATTCAGTTATTAAGAAACATCAACTGAATGTTCATGAACAACTTTGTTGTATTAAAACTATTTTTGTCATACTATCTGGACAAGGAACTGTAATCAACATTGATCCTGTTCACTTTTATTCTCATTTGTATAGAGTTATTCCTGAATTAGATTGTTGTAAGTTTAAAAACCCTTTTATTTTAATGATAGATTATTTAATTAATATTTTAATTTTATAAATATTTTTAATCTATAAAATACTGTATGAACCATGCTTATAATAAACTTTTATGAAAATATTGTTTGCAAATAGAATAATATATATTAATTTTAATATATTAACAATTTTTAGGTAAATATCATGATAATTTAGAAACTTTCCTTCGTACAATTGAAGCATTGTTTTTGGTGGGTCGCAAGAAAGTAACTGCCAATTCTACACTGTCGTTTGTGAAAAGAATGTCCACGTTGAGTCTTCAAACCCTTCACAATGCATCACTCGGGATCTTAGCCGCTCTTCGAACTATAATACAAGTAATTATATTAAATATTTGTCATTTGTATAAATTTTATAAATAAATTTTAATTTTAATTAATAAATTTCTTATATTATATTGATAATTATAATAATTTTCTTAAAGCATTATTATTAATTTTTTAATTCATATAATATTATTATTTACCTTATTTTTTAGACAAATAAGAACACGGAATCTTTATTAGATGTTGACCCATCTTATGGACAAGGAATTTACAATGCTGAATTACAAGAACCGGAACATAGTAACGCTGGAAGTACATCATTATGGGAACTCCCAGCATTACAGGTTAGTAATTACTAATTTGTTTGATGCAATAGTATTCATAATACCAATTTATTATTTTTTTTAGAGGCATTATCATCCTGAAGTATGTAGATTATCAAAAACTGTTGCTTCATTGACAGTTTCACAAAATAACCATAACAATTTAAAACCAGAATTAGCCAAAATGTAAGTGCAATACAGTATTAAGCATTGATAATATTTTATCTGGTAAATGGTAATATTGGAATTCTTAAGAAGTATTAAAAAAAACTGAGGAAATTAATGTCTTACTTTTATAATTGTATTATATTATATATTAATATGTATTATATTATATATTAATATGTATTATATTATATATTAATATTTACCATTATTGTAAATTGGCAATTCATGTTAATTTATGTTTAGATCTGAAAATGTAGAAATATTTCTCATTTATTGAATTTATTATGGTCGATATGAATACAGTGAAACTTTGATAACTCAAACGTCTATAAGTCGAATTTTCAGTAACTCTAAGGAATATCTTCACCCCTGCATTTCATTAAGTACACACAATTTTTTCTGGAACTCAAATTTTTTTTTCGTCCCCAACCGATTCAAGTTATTCAGGTTTCACTGTATATGATTCTTAGTGATAGCAAAGCTATAAAGTATTAGAAAATTTATTTTTGAAAGAGACCATTATTTAATATTCTTATCAGTTAAATTAATACCTAATGGTTTTTATATGTCTTTATAGTCTCCGCCAAGTTCATTACTTTTATTATAAAATATAGAGTTTGAAATTAATTAAGTTTCATTAAGAATCATGTTTGTATAAATCTGGTGTAATTGTTGACCTTAGAATACAGATAAGCCAAGAATTTTAAAACTTACACTTCTTAGTTTTTAATATAGATTTATATTTCATTTTGAAGAGGCTGCTTAGATAACGTGTTGTCTTTGGACTTAATTTAACAATGTATAAATCTATGTACTGGATTCTTACTACAATTTGTTTATACTTAATATTAGAGTAAGTTTACCTATTATAACATTTTTTAAAGAAGAATATATAAACTGCTCGAAAGTCGAATGAAGAGTTTTTGCTTATATTTTTATTTAAAAAAAATATATGCTCAAGCACAATTTATATTCACCTAATCATTGCTACAAGTTGTATAATAAGTAAACCTCTAATATTATTATTTATTTATAAATAATTTTTAGTAGATTTATCTGCAAATATAAAATTGTTATCTCAAAAATAAAATGTTTTTACTTAAAAGAATGTTAATTTTATATTTTAGAAATAACATAATTATTTTAACTAAAAAATAATGCTTTAAAAAGAAAGTCTGCCCTGTTGTATATACCTAATTAAAATTTTTTAATTGTAGGACGCCGAGTGAGTGGTTTAAAGAGTTTGATCCAAGTAATGTGGCATTCAATCCAGCAGTTATGCCTCCAGTGAAGGTACCTCAGCGGATACCTGCACATTATCCAACTCTTCCATACTCAGATGTTCTGGATAAAAACTTCCCCAATGTTGATTTCTCAAAAGATTTTTTTTGAATTTGTATTTTTTTTAATAATAATGTATTAAACTAGAATTTTATTACAAAGGAAATAGTCTATTTTTTTGTGTTAATTAAATTAACATTTTGGTAACCCCTAGTATTGATTATTCTGCTGGTTGCTGTGTGACACTGATAAGAAAAAATAGGATTCAAATATTGATAATAGTCTGTCTGTAGTGGCTAATCAGTAATAGTGTAAAGAATATTCAATATTACAATTATTATTCTTTTGAATTACCAACAAGACTACAAAATACAAATGTGCCAAACTTAAATTTTTTATAATACTGTCTGTGATAAATCGTTACAATGCACAAAACGGAAGTTGACATTCCACCTACCATTCGAAAACGTCTAATTCATCTCTTCGGACTTATCGAAAAGGAATTCGAGACTGTGTGCCAAGAAAATGTTGTTCTGCAGGAAAAAGTGGAGTCACTCACTGAGAAAGTTAACGAAAAGTACTTGACGACTGAACAATTTCAAGTAAATTCGAAACAGAAACCGCCGACTGGTCAAAAACTTAAAACTGCAGAAAAATTAAAAGCACAAACTAGTAAAATTGTATCTAGCTTTAAAAGTCCATCAGCAGCTAATTGTCAGTTTGTAAAAGAATACGGCGGACACAGAGATGGCTTGTGGGATTTAGCGTTACCTCATACTGGACAGCCCGTCATTGGGACCTGTTCAGCAGGTATGTACTAAGTATATTTTGTCTTGTAGGTTCCTAATCCTTTTTACCTTACACTTAGATCACACCGCAAGAATATGGTGTATTGAAACTGGTACACCACTTTTACAATACACTGGCCATACGGGATCTATTAATTCTATAAAATTCCATCCCAGTAAAGATTTAGCTCTCACATCAAGTGGTGATCAAACTATTCAAATTTGGCAGGCAGCCGTTAATCTAGATAATTTAGTGAGTGTGTTATTTTTTTTATTAATTATATTTTTTAATAATTTTATATTTTCCATAATTTTGATATTTTATATTATAATATAATATTTTATTTAATCAGGCTATAGTTTGTAAAATTCCTATTTTAATTTTATAGAGGGATCGGGAATCTGATGACACTGAGACTGAAGATGACCGAGTTATTCCAATATTACGTACACCTTCATGTACATTTTTGGGACATAATGGGCCAGTTATGGCCAGTGATTGGTTACTGGGTGGTGATCAAATTATTACTGCATCATGGGATAGAACTGCTAATTTATATGATGTTGAAACCAGTGAACTGTTAAACTCACTAACTGGTAAGTTATGTATTGATAGCTATAATAATTGTTAATCACTAGTTAAATAATTAATGTTTTAATTAAAACTAATATGAGGTCAAACGCTTAAAGGTTAAAAAGTTTCTGAATAAAGACAAATGTTTCATAATTAATACTTCATAAATATTTTATTTCATTTTTTGTAACGTGTATTACAATATTTACAACCTATAAGGATTGTTTTAGTATAACAGTGGCGCACACTCAAAAATAAATAGGGGTAGCAAATTGATTCGGTCACCTCTATATTGGCTAATAGATTAATGGCTATAGCCTATAATAATTCAATAGTTTATTTTCAATATTTTTATACATAGTAGAATTTTCATGACGTAAATATTTTGTTGTCAGGGGGTCTACCCACCCACCTACCAAAAAATCAGGGGTAGCAACTGCTACCCTTGAACCCTCCAGTGTGCGCCACTGTGGCATAACTAATATTAGCTTTAATTACAGCTATACTATAAAGATCTGTTTAATCTTTATTCATTTTTTATCTGAAATCAGAAATATTTAATATATTTTTTGTAAAATAACCGACTATAGTAGGAATATAATAATGGTTGGTATAATATAATAATATATACTTAAACCTGACAGTTATCACTTATTAATACATAAATAAATGCACGTATTTTATATTTAAATAGCATTGTTTTACAAGATTCTACCAATTTTCTAAAATCCAAAATTAAATAATTGATTAAAATTGTACTAACAAAAAAAGACTATTATGCATAACAAATTTGTGTTCAGCAGAATTAATTTTGTGTTGTTAATTTTAATATTAAATATTAAATGTGGCATTAAAAATTGCATGCAGAAAAATAAGTAGGCTTGGATTGCTATTTAAATTTTAAAATTAGTAAGGTATGAGCATAGAGCCAGGACTGGCTGAAGCAAAAATAGTGAACTGTGCAAAATCAAATTTCGCCGCCCCTAACAATATAATATTATCAGTATTTTGAAAATGCCGAACTCTTACTAAAGTGCTGCCTAAGTGCCTCCCTAGGCGTGGGCCTATGTTGCCAACCCTTGAACCAGGCCTGCATAGAGCATTTTAAAATTGTAATATTTTACAGTTATAACTAGAGTACAGATTTTAATGCTCTGAAAAGTGTAAAAATATGCCACAAATATGGATAAAAAATATTAAATTGTGTAGTATTTTAAAATAATTATAATTTAATAACTTATAACTACTCAAAAATAATTTAAAACAAATTAAATAGCTTATAATTATAACTAAAGTTATCTACCTACTTAATAAACAAAACATTTTTTAATATTATTAACATTCCTGCAAAATGTATGATTAAATTTTATACTTGACAAATTAACCTATTATATCATTTAAAGTAAGATCATCTTTTTAAGGCAATCTTGGAGACTTCAATTTATCTTTTAATTTTAATACAAGTTTGAGTACAAAAACATTATTGTTTTAAAATGCTCATAACTTGCTTTGTAAATTTGGTATATTAAAATATCAACAAAATCATGTGAGATGCCCCGGATAACAATCTTACCTCCAAATTGTATAATGAATCAATTAACTTTAGTTTTAAAAATAACAGAGTAAAATGGATGTGTTTATTGTATGTTTGCGAAATGAACACAATACATGTGGGCACATGTAGCATCCACTTGAAAAAGATCCCATGTCAGATACTTAAATTACACTTGATAGTTGGCTTTAAATTCAAGGGCTTATAATACATTGGACACTGGTATGCTTCAGTAAACACTTAATACTTTATATTTACAATACTGTTTAAAAAATGTACATAGGTATAAGTTTATATAACTGTTATTTTAGAATAGGTATGTCCTAAACTACTAATGCTTCATGAGTGATATTTTAAAGAATTAAAAATATGGTCCTAAATTAAATTAAAATTTTCAGGGCATGATGAAGAATTAACTTATGCTTCTTCACATCATTCCCAGAAGTTGGTTGTCACCGCTTCTAGAGACACAACATTTAGATTGTGGGATTTTCGAGAAGCTATAAACTCAGTTTCAGTTTTTCAAGGTCATACAGAGTAAGTTTTAACTGTGTTAGGTAAATATACTGTGATAATAATTAATATTGAAACATTGTTACAGTACAGTGACTTGTGCAGTTTTCACATCTGCTGGACCTGGAGGAGAAGATAAATTAGTATCCGGGTCGGATGATCGGTCCATAAAAGTTTGGGAATTACGTAATATGCGTTCTCCAATTACTACTATCAGAGCTGAATCTGGTGTAAATCGCTTTGCTATTGCTTCTAATGGTGTTATCGCTATTCCTCATGACAATCGACAAGTTATGTTGTACGACATGACTGGACAACGAGTTAACAGAATACCCAGAACAGCTAGAAATGTAAAAACTGTTTTTATTAATTTAGCGTCTAATGAAATAAATATCATATCTAAAATATTCCATTTTAAAATTTCATAAATCACATTCAAAATACAAATTATAATACAACTATACAGTATATTTGGGAAAAATACAACATTTTATTAATGTGAAATTTTATTATTTTTTTTAGAGACATAGACGTATGGTAACAGCTGTTGCTTGGAGTGAAGATAATCCATTTGCTAATTTATTTTCTTGCGGATTTGATCGATTAGCTCTAGGGTGGTCTGTTCAGTTATGTAAGGACTGATCCTTATTAATATATCAAGTTCAAGTATGTTAAGTAATGGCATGTCATATTTTTATACATACAGTTTTTACTTCTTTTTCTATTTCCTGGTTTGTATGTATGTGTGTGTGTGTATAAATCCTAATTTCTTTCTGTAAAACTCAAAATCTATTAAGTTACATTTTTAAATATATATTGTATTAACATTGTTACAATTTGTTTTTTTGCGTCCTTTTTTGTTATTTTTTTTGTTGATAGCCTAATAGTATAAACTAGTGTTTATTAGAATATTTAATAAGAAGTCATATTATATTTTAAAGTTTAATTAAAATATTTATTTAATTTAAGTCTTTCAAATATCATTATATGATTATAGTCATAAGGAATGTAATCTATGAAATTCAATGTCACTCAGCATGAACAAAAGAAAAAATAGTCTGATAGATGTAACAAATTACAAATAAATATTATACTTGTATTATATTTAATATTTATACTCCAATACTTAATAATCTATTATTTATAAGAAATTATACTGTCATTACAGAAAATTTACTTTTAAGAGCAACTTCTGATCCAATTATATGATAAATGATAATATCAAAACTTATAATTTGTTGTGTAATGAAAATGTCATAAGATAAGATGTAAATTAGAATTTAATTTATTCCTTTGTTTGTACCATCAGTTTTCTTCTTTGTTAAATTTATTATCACAAAATATATAACAACTCTTTAAAACTGGAATATAATTATTTAAGATGATGTGATATGATACCCGCTGTGTTGTCTCCGTCTAACAACTGTGTAACATACCAAATTTTATGCTCAGCAGAACACATGTAACTTCGTTAATTTAAAATTAAAGTGAATTGACCTCTTACAAAATCTAAAGGTAAGATAATTATCAAGGCAATCTTTTTTTTATTATATTTTAATTTGAAAGTGAGGTATGAGAATTTTAAGATGTATAAACAATTTACAATTTTTGAAATACTCATAACTTGCTTTAAAATTAAAATATAATAAAGTCTATGAGGTTGCCTAGATAAAAAACTTACTTTTAGATTTTATAAGAGGTTAATTCATTCAAAATTTTATTTAATGGAGTTACACGTCTCCTGCTGAGAGTAAAATTTGCTATGTTTTACACTTGTAATATAGAGACAACACATGCGGATATCACCTCCTCTTAAGAAGATACAGATATTATGCCAAAACCAGATGGAGGATCAATTGTACATTTTTTCAGTATACTTATGATAAAAAATGTAATTTAAAAATATCAATAAAACTAGAAGGATTATAAGTAAGTTTGTTGATCAATCAACTTAAAATGTTATGATTAAATAATTGATTTCCATTTTCCAATGGAATTTAATGAAAATTCAACATATTTTCAATCACTTACCAATTACCTGTAAATGGGTTAAGATTCTCCTTATAATATGATTGTTTATTTGTTTAGATATTTCAATAATCATTTGTCGTACAATAAAATGTATACAAAATAGTCAAAATATAAGTTTTTCAATTTTTCCTTCATAAATAATATGTATAGTTGAGATGATACCTCCTGGCTCCTAATAATGAAGATTTACTTTAATTACTTCTAACAAGTGGTTAGGTGATAATCAAAGAAACAATGTGAACAAAAATGATTAAATATTTATTTTTGAAGATATTAGGTAGTTAACAAAAGCGCTAAACAATTTTGTAACAACAAAATAGACTTCATTGTCAAAAATGACATTTTATTGAGAATATAAAAAATAATAATAATAATTAATAAGTAAACAAGTACAATATTCATAAGCTATTCATAGTAGTTTAAATGTATTTTTTGTATATAAATGAAATTTTAAACCATAAAAATAAATTGAGTTATAACATATAAGCTTTCGTTAATTTACAAAATAAATGCATATTTATTTGATCAAAATACACAAAACAAATGTTTAGAAAACCAATTTTAAATTAAATAAAAAAATAATAATAAATAAAAAATTGTATTGCTTTAATAAAAAATAAAAAATAAAATAATAAATAACATACCACTAAAAGCAATTATAGCTGTTAAAGAATAATATGATTTTTATATTGTCCACTAATTTCTTTCTTTAAAATATTTATTAGGTAATATCAAGTAAACAAAATTGTGTTATAGTAACTAAATGTTAATGTATCAAAAAAATAATTGAAAAATATATATATTGTGCTAGAATCTGCCATTGGTTAAGTCTGTGCTAATTGCTAAATATAATTGTCAAGCTATGACATAATACAAACATAAATATTTTCAAAAACTCAATACATTATAATATAGAATGATAACTGTATAAAAATAAATATTATATTGTAAAAACTGAAAATTTGGGAATAATCTATAAAAATTAATTATTAAATGGCCATCCTATTAGTAGATATAACTAAAAAAAAAAAATGTTAGAATATACCAAAATAGTTCTAACTGCAAATATTATTAAATTTGATCGGACATTCTCTATCTATATATTATATTCAACAACTTTACTAAATAGTAAATAGGATAAAAAGTGTGTTTTGTAAGCAATGCAAATAATGTATATTTGATTTTATATGCTACTTCAGTGCACCATTTAGCCGTTTAAAAACTTATTGAAAATGTAATTTATACAATTCAAGAAAAATTACTTAATTTACTCAATAATGATTATAAATACCATATTTCAAAAGTAAGATAATTTTGAAAACTTTAAACAGTTATAATATAAAATTATAACTGAAGATTATTTTAATATAATATTTGTTATCTGACATATTTTGAGATGTAATTACTCAAGTAATTCTTAAGAAGCATGGCAATTACAACTACTGAACTACATTTTCTTAAGCTTTTTTTGATATGTATTAATATCATATTATTTATAAAGAAATGTATTTTTTAATTCACGTAAAAAAGGCAGTAAATGTACAAAAAAAAAAAGAAAAAGTACTGATGAAATACAATAGGTAATACTGAAATTTTATTTTTAAGATAACCAATGATATATTCAGTATTCACACATTAGTGTTAATGGTTATGTTATACTGTGCCTTATGGTTAATCCCGCCAATAAAAAAATCACATTCTTTTCCAAACTAGTACAATGAATATAAAAATACTAAAGATGTAATTAGAATAAGGAACACCTAAAGTGGGTGAATCATATTACTAATACATTTTTTTTTTTTTTTGAACAATTTAATCTAATTCTACAAAAATTTAATTCCTACACAAGATTATATGATTATTGATTGTAAGATTAATATTTCATTTCGAGTCATTTCAATAATAAATATTTGGTGTTAAATGTTAGTAACCATCAAAGGTTAGCACAGTTCTAGGGAGTCATGTTTATAGTATATTATAGGTCAGAGGAGCTGTAAAAAAAAATATATAGGTATATAAATATAAATATCTTAACAAAAAGAAAAACAATATTTATAGATGAGAATTGAAATTGACAATTAAGTAATCTTATCTCCTTTCTATATGTATATAAAAAAAAAAGGTTTTATTGAAATATATGCTTGGCTAAAACCCCGGAAGACTGAAACGCGAGAATAGAACTTAAATTAAAAATAAAACCATGGCAATTTATGTTATTAATTTTTATGTATGATTTCTATTAATTTAAAGTAGACGACATCGCCCCTTCTTTTTCTTTTTAACCTGTAAAGCTGCTCTAGTTGAAGTTTCAAATACTTCACGGACACCCTCCTTACTTTTAGCTGAACATTCCAAATAAGCAAATGCATTGATCTTTTCGGCCATTGCTCGCCCTTCTTCTGGCCTCACAGGCTCTTGTTTCATTTTGCTCAGCTCGCGAATCGTATTTGGATCATTACGCAAGTCTTTTTTGTTACCAACCAATATGATCGGCACATTTGGACAGAAATGTTTCACTTCCGGTGTCCATTTCTCTGGGATATTCTCTAACGAATCTGGTGAATCTATGGAGAAACACATGAGGATAACATCCGTGTCAGGATAGGACAATGGTCTTAGTCTATCATAATCTTCTTGACCCGCTGTATCCCACAGTGCTAGTTCAACTTGTTTGCCATCGACTTCTATATCGGCTACATAGTTCTCAAACACGGTGGGTACATATACTTCTGGGAATTGATCTTTGGAAAACACAATGAGCAGACAAGTTTTTCCGCAGGCACCGTCACCGACGATGACGAGTTTTTTTCGAATGGCCGCCATGGTCTAAAACGGAAAACAGTACCACATCATTATACCATCAAAGGATTGTTCTATAGATATTAAAGGGCGCAACAACTAAAATTAGTAAAAATTAAAAACAAAATACGATTAAACTGCGCTAATCAAACACCACACATACACTAATTATCCACACTTAAGACACAAACGTGAAACGAAACAGATCAGAAATTAGTAAGAAAAACTGTGACATAAGCAATAAGCATAACTACATAACATGACATGTAAAAATAATTGAAGACGATTTATTACCTCAGCTTACAGGAGGAGTATTTAAATTCGATGTCCAACAGGTGTATTTTATTCTAATTAACGAGAAACTTAAAAATAATTTAATTGCTTGATTGAATATTGAAGTGAAAATAAAAAAATAAACAAAATTTATCAGATATCAATGTTTACCTAATTTTTTTTATGTAGAGTAAGCAAACATAACCTCAAATTTAATTACATAAGTTATGTGTTTTTTTTAAAATATTTCCGCGGTCAACTTAGATTATAGTGTTAATAATTTATATTTGCACGATAGCTAATTCGTAATATCGTATAGAATTATAGAACTATAGAAGTATTGTAGTACCTACCGTAATTGTTTTTCCACAAATGAAAATGCTTTTGTAAATCCGCCTACACGGCTAGATCGGTTACTTGGATTAATGCTGTAAAACATTGAAGTATATCTTTCAAGTTTCAATATAGGTAGTAGGTACCTATACTTACTGAGTTGACGGATTGGAAGAATTTTACTTATAAATCATTAATTTGGAAGAGTACCAAAAAAATTGTTGATCCCATCGGCCTTCAATATGACAAAACATGTTTTGCAAAGATTGCAATCTCTTGTAAGTAGTATCAAATTTTAGTTATTACCTATATGTTATATTGTCAATTTTTATTTTTATACTTACATATTAAAAAAAAAATATACTTATATGGGAAAAGAAACCGATAGAATTAATTTTATGACATAAATAGCCATACAGGCTTACATTATTACAGTGTAATATAATTTTCAATTAACATTATATTTCTGTCAACTGTCAAGGTGAAGGGGGCAGCGGGGCACCTATATATATGTATACAGTATACACATTTAAACATTTTCTATAGGAACAATATTATAGTCATGGAGCATAGGCGAAATTTCAACTTTCGACTTGGGGGGGGGGGGCTGAATCAGAAATGAATCTAGAAATGAAAAAAGGGGGGGCCTAGACAAAAAAAATGTATTTAAAGTACATAAAAGCATGGGAGTTTTGAAATATTTTAAGTACCGAAATCCTAGCCTAAGGTCATGAGTATATTAAAGTAGTTGGGTATCAAAAAACTTAAACTTACACGAAGAAGCAAGTCATAGTAACTAATTATTCATATTTATTGATGTAGGTATATTGTATAGGTATAGTGAAATAGTTCTGGGATTCGTTAACTGGGGTGGTAACTTTACTAGGAAGTAATTTTTAGGGACAAGTGAATTAGTAAAATGTCGACATTGTGGCATTACAATAATTATTAATTACCTTCTAGTCACTAAAACCAAATTATATATATTATTATTATTATATATACCTATGCCAATATGGCTATTGCCATAGAGAAATGGACAAAGGTTAAGGAATCACTATATTATAGGCTACAGATAGGTGTATAAGCGTAGATGTTGATTGGTGGGGGGGGGCTAATGGAACTATAGTCCAATGTAAATTGTTTTTAAATTACTTTTTTAGAGTACCTACCTATATGTTTTATACCTGATAATTGGTAAAAAATCACTATAATTTTAAAATAACAAAGTAAAATAAATTATTTTGAACCAGTGGCGGACGGGGGGGCCTAGATGCCTGCAGGAAAATACCTGGTGGGCCGCTGTTTGTATTTAAAAACTCCATGATGTGTTATAATAAACAAAACCAATTAAATCTACTGTTAGTCGTTTTTGAATAACAACAAAATAAGAAAATCGTTTGACGAGAAATTGATAATTTACTTGGTGAATATGCAATGTCGTAAAAATATGAACTTCTGCAAATGTTCATAAAAAATTTATTTGACTTTCCGGGAAACTTTTTTTTTAAAGATAGAAAATTCATTCGGAGTCTTGTATATATTTTTCAAATCTTATAGTTTTAAAAACAAAATTGTTTATGCATTTCCAACATAAAATAATTAGAACATTTTCCTGATTTTGATGAATTTTGTCTGTGTAATGTAAAGTAATGCTCAACAATTTATTCTTATAAATGTATTAAAACTTATGCGGAATCTTATTTATTTTTTTATATTTTTTCACGAGCATTTTTTTATCAACAATAATAATAAAAAAACTAATACAAATCGAAAACTTCTTTGACCTTAGCTTTAAGAGATTCAAAATATATTAAAAATTGTATGATGTATACAAAATGATATTATAAACATTCGGCGAATAATAAATAAATAAATAATATGTATAAATAATAATAATAAATCATTTATCTTAGCTAGACCAAAAAACAATATTATCCATTATTTGGTCAAAAACTATTTTTTTTATTATTGAACTTAAGCCCGGCGACTAAAGCCATTAGCTGTTGTAGGGGTTATGAACTGTGGTAGGGGTAAGATTGGTGCGGTAGGTTGTATTTACGATTGTTTAAGGTTGGTACGATAGGTAGCAAACACGTGTACGTGAGGCAAGGTTTTTAATTACTATGAACCCGGATGGTCACCCATCCGGGATCTAGTAGCTGTGGCCGTTACTTACTCCTAGTAGCATTCTGCGACTGGTAGCAGCCAACGCGTCACGCCAAGCCACCTGGATCAAAAAATAGTTGGTGTAAAAATTCCCGTTTTCCTTAATTTTGAAAACTATTGAGCATTTTTCAATTTTACCTCTTAAATGCACTAACTAGAAAAGATAATTTAAGATGAAAATCAGGCACGGCACTAGAATTTTTTTCCAGGGGGGGCAGAGTGGGGCAAATATTTTTTTTACATGGGCTAAAATTGTTTCAACAAATGCTGAGGTTATTTAAATGAAATATAAATATTTTCGTATCATATAACATAATATAGCTATTAGCTATATAGTACATACGTTTTAATCGTTTTATATTGTATGCTCTAAACGTCTAAACATATAATATTTACAAACTTTTGAATAGTTAAAAATGTTTTAAGAATAATATCAAATATTTTTTTGTACCTTATGTAATATGTAAGAAAATGTTTAATCACAGACCTAAGACCTTCAACAACTATATTCATAATGATAATATGATATACAAAAATAATAATTTCTTTATGAGCTAAATATTGATTTTTTATAGAATATCTGTTTATGCACCATACAGTAAATGATTGAAAATCTTTTAATATTGAAAAAGTTAACAAAAATGTATACAATTGCACTGATATCAGTATGAATACAATTTGTTTTAAATAAAAACTTTTGATTACCTACCTTATATTTAACTAGTACATTTTAAATTTTTAATTCAATACATTTTTAAATTGGTATTTGCATAGTAGTGTATGTATTGACTACTGAAGTACCTACTTTATATTTTTTGTTAAATTTTGGTGGTTAAAATAGTTCATATATATACATTAAAACATAGATACTTTAAGAAATATTTTTTTATTAATTATCAAGTAATATGTGAACTAATTACCATGACAAATAAGATTATAAAAATAACAAAATAAGAAAATTGAATAAATTATTTAATTATTTGAAATAAGAAATTTGTCATGCTAATTACTAAACTAATATAAGTAGGTAGGTACGAATACCAACTCCTTACACAATAGTATTGTGTTAATCAAACATAAACATATTTAAAATAATAAGTCAACTAAAAATATTTTTAACTGTATGCAACAAACATTAATTATATCGTACATATTTTTCAGTGGGGGGGCTGGCGAGGGGGCTGATCTGTTTTCTGGGGGGGCTAGAGCCCCACCTTGCCCCCCCTTGGCGCCGTGCCTGATG